AAAGGTGGAGAGGAACTCCTAAATCCAAACAGAACAGCGACGCAAGAGGAAGCATGATAATAAATTACCAGAGAGGAAACAGGAAGATGACATAGACACATCCACGATGAGCGATACGCGCAATGTCCTAAAGAAACTAAAAAATAACAAAGCTTCCTAGGATAGATAATATCCCAGGAGAATTACTTAAGAGTAGCGGTGAGCAACTAACAACCGAACTACACAATCTCATCTTAAAAATATAGAAAAAAAACCGAAGAACTCTCTGACGAGTGGAAGAAGGTATAATAAGTTTCATTCACAAAAAAAGGCGACAAGCTCAAATGTGAGAATTATAGTGGGACCTCAGTGCTCAGCACATCGTATATTCTTGATGATTATAAAAGAAAAACTGGAAAAAAAGGCTGAGACCATCTTGGGAGAATATCAGGCTGATTTCAGAAGAGATCAACAGGATAGCTGTTGACAGTCAGGCAAATATATGAAAGATTCTGGGAATTTAACATCAATATCTATCAGCTGTTCATAGACTTCAGGCAAGCATATGACAGTATCAACAGGAATAGACTCTGTGCTGTCATGCTCGACTTAGGTATAAAATTAATAGTGAGTTTATATGTTTTCACAATTCAAAACACAATTTGAAGAAAAAAATTTTATTTTTTCAGCTTTCTGACAAAATTTTTGTTTTCTCATTTTTGTTTTGTATCACAATGTAAAAAAACTTATAATTCTTTCATTTTCTATTTTAATATTATGAAGAATAAAAATATGATTGACTTTATAATTATTTACAGCACTGTATTTGAAACTTCTGTATAAGAATCTATTAAAATATTTAAATAAATATGAATTCTTAAAATTGTATATCAAAATGCAAAATTTAAAATCTATAATTGTTTAAACTATCAAAGTTTGTAAAACACCTAAATATTAAAATTTTAAAACACGTTATATTTTTAGACTTTAAGATTAAAATTTAAAAATGTAAATTGATAAAAATTAAAATAGTTAAATTAAAAAAAGAAAATATCTTTTATACATGTATGTGCGTACGCGCGCACACATATATGATGTACAATGTATAGTGTATGATGAATAATATTACATATATTTATTATGTATTTTCTTAGAAATACATATTTTCTTAGAAATACATACATAAAATGTATCACAGTGTTACAAAGTGTTTTTTTTTTTTCCTGAAACTGTTAAAGATAGGAACAAAATTTTTTTTATAATCTTTTTATAGGACAAATATCTTTTTATAGGCAATTTTTATAGTTTATTGGACTTTTTGAATAATAAATTACATTATTATTAATCCTTCCAAAAAAGAGCAAAAGACATGATGTCCTATTTTTTAGATAGAATAAGTAAATTTTTGCATTTTTCTGATGTTTTGTTAAATATAATAACATAAGAAACAATTTTGTATTTTCTGCATAATTAAAGAAGATCAAAAACATTTTTCAGTGATTTGATTATAAATGTTAATTAGTAACAAAATCAATTCATTTATCTTTTAAAAAACATAAAGTAAATGTTCAAAACGTTGTTCACTTCTTTCAAATTATTTTTTATTGTTAAAGATAACAATGACTTTATTTTTAATAAAATCCACAAAAAAAATCTAATGATATAAGATCAAGAACATTTTTTATAATGAATTATATTAGAAAATGAATAAAATGATTTTGACACTGAAAAAAATTTTTTGTCACAATTCTAAATACGCAAAAGATAGAAAAAATTTTTATGAATGTTATTATATTTAACAAAATTACGTATTATTCTTATTACTACTCTATATGTATTATGTTAAAAAATAGAATAACGTCTCTTTTATTTGTTTTGAAGGAACCAGTCAGTATCTTGGCTGTAATTAAAATGTTTCAATAAATCATAAAAACTACAAAAAAAAATTCTCATTTTCCCAAAAAAAATTACTCACGTTCTCACTTTAACAGAATTCCGAAGATAATATTTTGTAACCTTGTTGTCATTACATATATATTTTGGATGTTGTATGTGTGTGTGTGTGTGTGTTTTATTCAGAAAGTTTGGTCAATTTTTTTTTACAAAGATATAAAACATTAACCTCTATATTTTTAATTCTCGGAGTCTTAAATATTAAATTCTTTGCATCCTAAGATTCTTAAATCCTTGACTCTGTAGACCCTTAAAAATCCTATAATATACAAATTTGTACATTATTAATTACAAATACTTGACATTAAACAAATTCTTCCAAAAAATTTCTTTATCGCCTTTTAATAAACTATAATAAAATCAATCATCATCCTACACATATATAAAATAAAAAAAATACTATTTTTTTTAAGACACTGAATAAAGTCATACAAATACAATCATATAAAAACGAGTTATTTTGCTATCCTTATCATTTTAATTTATTTCACATTTCTGAATTTTATTTGACAATATATTAAGAACAAAAAAGAGAGAGAAAGAGAGAGAAAAAAATACTATTAAATTATAAAATTAATCAACTTAATCCTAGTTATCGAAAAATTATATAATAAATTTTGAAATAAAAGTAGCAGAAAAGATTTCATACTTTAATTATATTATTTTGACAAAATCCTATAAAATCGTATTTGTGCATATGTATATTAATATGTATATCCTCGCGTATAAATACATTCACGCGCAAGAACGCATGCATGCACACGGGTGTTCTAAAAGTAACGATAAATTTTTAATAAGATTCTTTGTAACATTTATAACAAAAATTTTAATATAATATCAGGCCTATAATAGTTTTCTTAAAAAGGTTTAAAGATTGTAAATGATAAGATTAGAATTCCACGGACTTAAAAGTGTCAAGATAAAAGTGATAAAAGTATTTTTATGAATCGAATGCTTTTAATAATAATGAAATTATTGTATAAATACGCGATAAGAATTTTATTAATAAACTATTTTTGTTTATTCGTAACAAATTCATTATAAAAATAGATCGAAATGTTTGTACTAGTTTAACATATAGTAACGATATTAATACGTATCAAAATGTCATTAGTGTATTTATTTGGTTCATATGATAAAAGTTTTCACGTAAAGTCAGTCGATATAAATGTTTTCTGTCATAATTAGATATTGGATACATCGTTAATATATAGAATATAACACATACCAATTATTCAATATACAATACACATAAAAACCTCAATATTCTTTCTTAACAACTGTGCTAACATATTCTCTCAGTAGTAGCTATAATTCCTATTTATTTCATGTTAATTCTGCTTTTCTGATTTTTTAAGATCTTATCACAATTTTTAAGAAAGAATATAGAGGTTTTGATGTATATCATATATTAAATAAATAATGTATCTGTATATGTATATTCCATAACGATATATTCAATTTCTAATTTAATAAAAAATATCTTTATCGGTCAATTTTACATGATTTGAATTAAATAAACATAATAATTTTAAGATATATTAATATCGATACTATTAAACTATTGAGTACAAATGTCTCCGGCTCCTCTATGCATCAATCTAATCTAATTCATTTAAGGCTCCTGACTCAGCTAAGAATTCCCCGTTGATAGTGTAGCAACACAATATCATGGAAAAAATCAGAAGATCAGATTATTCGTCCTTGTTTATCTTTATATTAAATTAAGTGACGTATTGACAACAAAATTTTTTATTGCATTTCATTTCGTTATTACGTGTTTAATTATGTAGCTGTGACTTATCTCATACTTACCAAATTGATAAAAATGGATGGCAGCTAAAGTTATCTTTGAATTTTATATGTAAAAGTAAAGTATTTTATATGTAAAACATATTTTTCATTTCTTTTAAGTTGTCAAATCATATTGTTCTGTCTGAAGAGGCTTCATTTCGCCTTTTATGCTATTTATTGACTATCAAGAAGGAAAAGGATAATAGCTATCCATTTTCACAAGTGTCTTAAAGCCATTTCAAGCATTTTTAGTCAAATATCTCTTTATTTATAAATTACTTACAATAAATTTCACTGTTATTTCTCGCTTATAACGTCACGATTCCAATGTGGCCGCGGCGATTAGTCAGGAGTCTTAATATTCTAATAGATTTGGATTACAGATAAATAAATAGATTTTTAATAAAACTCTTATTGCATTGACGATAATTTTATTATGGTCAAAAGCATTCAGTTCATGAAAGCATCTCCCCAATTAGAAATTGTAGCTCCCACATCTTTGTATTAAAATTTGCATCTTAAAATGTTACAAAAAATGTCATTAAAATATTTATCATCAATGTGGAACACTGCGTGTACGTATGTGTGTGTGTGGTGTACGTGTGCGTGCACAGTATTCCACAAATAGTTATTTGTTAATATACATATATATGCACGCAGTACGCACATATACACACATATATATATACACACACACACACACACACATATACACATATATATATGTGTATGTGTATGTATGTATGTACAACAAATAAATATTATAATCTTCCTATGTGTTATATTTTTTTATGTTCTCTTCAAGATTAACCTTACAAATTTACTTCAATAAATTTTGGAGTTATATGTATGCATGCCCGCGTATATTATAGAAAATATTACAATTATGCTATAAATGATGTAAAAAAGAGTATGTAAATTAATAATCATTAGAATAAATTATATAAAATATTTTTATAAATATCAATTTATTAAATTTAATAAACTGATAGTAATCTTAAAATAAATTGATTCATGTATATCAGTAATCTGTTAAGCATATAAATCACAACTAATATGTTCATACTTGTAAGTATGTATAAAGTTAAAAAACTAAACATTTGTATCATTAGTAATTAATATTACAGAAACTAAAGATTCTTTAAAATAGAAAAAAAAGAGGGGGGAGAAAAAGAAAAAAAACCAGATTCTCGTAAACTTACAATAAATACAAGTAAACAATTTAAAACAATATATCAATAATATTATCTAGTAATAATTATGCTTTTGCTTACCAGTAAGAAATATTGGTGATATGTTTAAAAGTTTTTCTAATATCTTCTACCACTGCCTCCTCCCCCACCACCACCACCGCCACCACCACCCATGTTTCCACCTCCAAGAGAATTACCGCCATAACCTTGATTACCATATCCACCACCGCCGCCAGAATTTCCGCCACCCATAGGACCTGCAATATTTTAAAAAATTAAAGATTAGCAGAATTGATTATTTCTAAATTGCATAATGTAGTAACATGGAATTGTCAAATAGAATTACTCAATAATTTTAAAACCATTCAATAATAGAAAAAATTGATAGTTATATATTACATTTATTTGCTAAAATTATATTTAAAATTTTGTTGAATCATTATTTGTTGCAAGTCAAAATAAAACATATTTTAAATTTAAATTTTAATAATTATATAAATAATGTAAAACAAAATCTATAAAAATAATCTAAAATCATAATCTTTAAACTTTTTTATATAATTTACATTGGAAAATATTTTATGTTGCATATCTTAGATTACATTTATGATAAAGGAAAGAGAAAAAGAAAAGAAAAGAAAAAGAGGAAGAAAATGAAGGAGAAAGAAAGACCGAAAGCAGGAGGGATAAAAGGAAGAGAAAAGAAAAGAAAGGAAAAAGGATAGGATGAAAGAAAAGAGAAAGAAAGGGAAGCAGAGCGAGAGAGAGGAAACGGAAAAGAGAAAGAGAAAAAGGAAGGAAGTTAGTAATATTTATTTTTCAAGGCTTCTTTTTGTTAATAAAGTTCCTAACCATTTTTTAATTCCATAACTATAACTATAACTAATTTTCGCGGTTTTCTATTATAACAACTTTCTATTTAATCTATTCCTTACCAATTTTTCTTTATAAATGTTAATGTCATGAATCAATAGTATATATATATATATATAAAACTTTCTATTATTTAGTTTTAAATATACATTAAATGATAAATAAATAATCTGCATTGTGCTTTAATATATTAGTAATTATATAATTAATTATTAGAAGTCATATTATTTGTAAATGTGGACAGCTATGTTTATATAATTGGATAACTATGTGCATTTTGAATAAATGCACTTTATTATTTTTCAATTTTGCCTCTTGAATAAATTCTTGTCACTTAAAAAAAAAAGAAAAAACTACTATTGAGAAAAGAAGAAAAAAAAAAGGAAGTTGCAAATTTGAGGGAGAGGAGAGGGGTTTAAAAATCTGGCACATTATCATAGGCCTATATATTGAATTTCTTTCATTGATAAAAGAGAATTCAAAATATGGACCATAGACTTTGAAAAAGAGAAAAAAAAACCTTGTCCGCTAAAAGGTGGTAGCCATCTTGAATCTCCAGATTGACGACCACTAGGACCCGAATTAATACCATATGGTGCTGGTCTGCCACCCGAGTTGAAATTATTGCGTACTGGACCACCTCCATAACCTTGTTGATATCCACCACCGAAATTATCATTGCTCCAATTACCACCGCTGTTGTAGCCGCCCTGTCCACCCTGATTCCATCCTCCACCTTTAAATTATAGAAATTGACAATCTTCTTTTAACATATTCCGTTATTCAAAATAATAAAATAATGGTATACTATTCTATCAACTTTTTGTAGGAGAGATGTATATATTTCTTTTACTGTCTTGTGTAATCTTAATTATCAAATATTATTTAAATTGCATCAGATTAATAAAGAAATTACTATTTTTATCTTGTTCTTTTGTATTATTTATAATTTTAGTTTATTTTAATAAAGCGTTATTTAATATTTAATTTTTATTTATTCAAACTTAGAAATAAAATTAGATGTACAAATAGACCAATTTATACAATATCAATTATCTAAAATCTAAATTATACTAAAAAAAGATAAATATAAAACAATACTGATCGAAGATGACTTTTCTAATATATATGATTTAGCTTTATAAATAATATAAGATTATAGTATGTGTAGATTATAAAGAACAAAATGTCTATATAAGGTGTCTCAAAATTACCAGAGGTTCTTTTATGAGCTTTCTTGAGAATTCTTTGAAATATTCTACAACGAAAATTCTAATACAAAAACGTCAATGCTTATATAATACTTTTCAAAGTTCGTTCAAACTTATGAACGAATAAAATTGACCAACTATAGCTAGATATCGCGCGCTCAAATATGTTATTCTATATCATTCATTTCTAAATCATCTAAATCATTTCATAATCTCCGATATTCATTTTTAAATATTAACATAATTTTTTATAATGATAAGGAGAGCACTTTTAGCTTTGTTTTGCTTATCTTCGATTATTTAATTCAATTATTTATAAAGATTAATATATCATCTTAATATCAAGTCATATATCAAATTGTTATATATATATATATATATATATTTATATATATATACATATTGAATTTGAGTTTTAACAATTTGATTTATATATGGCTTGATATTAGGCTGACATTAATCCTTACGTATAATTCAAATAAAATAATCATAAATAAGCAAGACAAAGCTTAAAAGTGAACTCCTTATCATTATATAAAAAATTATGTTAATATTTAGAAAGTGAGTCAATGTACAAGGGTACTTTCACTGCCATGCAATATAACATGTCTGCATGCGAAATTTAGTCGCTGTATTGGTCAATTTTATTCATTTATAATATGAAAAGTATTACAGCCTCGACATTTTCGTATTAGAATTTTCTTAGTCTTAAAATATTCTAAAGAATCTGTTTAAAAGGATCCTTAGATAACTTTGGGATATCTTAAGACTCCTGAGTAACCATCGTATATTTGATTAAAATAACACCTGCTATAACTGTAAGACATTTGTGAAAATAGACTGCTATCCTTTCTTTTCTTGATAGTCACTAAATAGCTGTAAAAGACACGTGAAATAAAGTCTATTCAGGCAGAAAACACACGATTTAACAGCTGTTGAAAGAAGTGGAAAAAATATTTTTACATGTAATGTCCAAAAATAATTTTAGCTACCGTCCATTTTTACAAATCTGATAAGTACAAAACAAGTCACATCTACACGATGAAGAACATAATAACGAAAATAGCTGCAATAAAAAATTTCGTCCGTACATCACTTATATAAAGACGAACAAGAACAAGGATAAGATAAACAAGAATGAATGATCTTCTATTTTCGACCGCGACGATACGTCGCTACCATCAACGTGGAGTTCTTAATTGAGTACTCAGGAGTCTTAAACATTTCTGAATTGGGCTCGATCTATTTATATTTTCATTACTATTTATATATACTTGTAGATATAAAACTTTTATGCTGCAACTTGACCCTAACATAACACTTGTTTCAAAAACTTGTTAAGATAAATATCATTGTTTCAAAAACTTGTTAAGATAAATATCATTTAAAATATATATATTCAAGAAAAAATAATATATTTTTCAAAATCAAATTTATTTTAAAAGTTGTTTCAATCTAAATTAAAGAAACTTTTACAGCTCAATTGTATATTTCTAACTTTTTTCATAATCAATTTCTTAAATCCAATATCATTGAACAGCAATATACGTGACATTGTTAATGCAAAGGTCAACTCAGCTAAAAGTAAAAAATATTTGCATGCAAATTTTTACCTTGATTCTGATTCTCCCAAGGTCCATTACCCCCCCAACCTCCTTGATTACCTCCACCATAGCCACCCTGATTACCACCATTATTCCAGTCACCACCACCGCCACCACTGCCACGTCCTCCCCAGCTACCACCTCCCTGATTACCACCACGGGGTCCTCTGCCTATACCTTGACCACCACGGCTACTTCCACCACCACCACCTCCTCCTCCAGAAGCAGATGCCATTTCTGCTCTACTCAAAGCCTGTAATAAAATTTATTTTAATAAAAGTACAAACTATTTAGTATATTTAGTTAATTCAGTTCAATCTATATAGACAAATAGACAGAGGAAAGAGGAAGGAAGAAGAAAAGAACAGAAAGGAGAAAAAAAACTGCAATAGAATAACTTGTATCTAATAGAAAAAAAATCTCCATGAAATATGTCATAAAGTATTTATATTTCTATAAATTTAACGAGATATAAGAAAAAATATTATAAGATTTCATATATTTTAAGAACATTATAGAATGTTAAAATTTATTTTTGTAAAAAATAATATATAAAAATACATATAAAAATACATATAAAAATACAAATAAGTTATCTATATTACTTAAACAAAAAACTGTTTATAAAATTAATCTGTTAACATATGTTTGGACAGTACTTATTTAATTTGGTAATATATTTCTTCCAAATTCTAATCAGCATATTTTTTAAATATCTTATATACGTATATATTCTTTAATATCTTGTAGATTTATAAACTATATAAACAAAAAATATTAAAAACACTTATAAAAACATAAAAATATTAAGAAAAAAATGATACTAAAAAGAATAAAAAAATCAGATACCTATTACCTATTTGTTAAGCATATTCTTATGAAATCATATTGAATTCTTCTTGAAATAATAAATTAACAATCAAACAATTATAATTGAAATAAATAAATATCCTTACCTTTTTAACATCAACATGCTTGCCGCGAATCTGATGATTACGTTGCAGACAAATTTTGTCGACAGGATCATAATCATCGAACTCAACAAAACCAAAACCACGTTTCTTGCCAGTTTCTTTATCAGTGACTATGCTGATTGAATTTATGCTACCGTAACTCTGAAAATATTGTCTAAGGTCTTCCTCTTCATGATCATCCTTCAAACCACCTACAAAAAGTTTCTTCACAGTAGCTCCAGCTTCCGGCCGACCTATTTCTTGTCTAGGTACTGCTCTCTTAGGCTCAACTACTCTGCCGTCTACTCTATGAGGTCTGTAAAAGATATATTTGCAAAATTCAAAAATATATTAAATTATAAAGATATTAAAGAAAAATTATAAAAAATATATTGTATAAGCTCTTTTATATTTTCTGTAACAGCATATTGAAATAAAGAATTTTTTAATATTTTTCAAATACAAAATCTTATAAATATCTATTTTTAGTTTTATCTTAATACTTTTATATATAAAATAGATAGAAGAATCACTTTATGTAAAGGAAAAAATCATATAGATATAAAATCTATATTGTAGCAAAGTATATTTTTATCTCTAATAAAATTTTTGTAATTTATATTTTTTCTATCTCTTAATAAATATTATATATAATAAAAATTAATTTAATTTTTATTATATATATTTATTAAATTTATTAATTTAAATTTAAATTTTTTTTATATCTTGTATAAATCTTTCTTACCTAGCATTCTGAGCATCATCCACCATATGAGCACGAGAATAAGTAATAAAACCAAAACCTCTAGACCGTTTTGTTTTGGGATCTTTCATAACTACCACATCTACTATTTCTCCCCATTGCTCAAAATGTTTCTTAAGTGAATCGTCTGTTGTTCTATAATCTAAGCCTCCGATGAACAATTTCCTAACATGTTCTGGCTCATTTTTGCCATCCTAAAATATCGAATAACATTTTAAGTAATTGTGATATTTCTCTTCATATTTCTCTTCTCTTATAATAACATAAAATATTGTTGTACATACATGTATGTACAAAAAAAATATACAATTTTACACACATACGTACGCGCGCACGCATGTATGCACATATATATGCATGTAATTATATTTTACGCATAAAATATAAATTTCACTTTTTTTTTTTTAAATCATTTGCGTGATTACCATAGCAAAAAGAATTGATAGCATTGAAATATCAGCTCTCATTTTTGAAAGCTAATAATGTTATGAGACATATATTTATAATGTTTTGAGACAGATTAAAAATTTTATTATTTAAAATCAGGATTAGAATATCATATCTTTATAAATAAGAGTTAACAATATAAATATAATGATATATAAACTAATTTAATTTCTTCTTATATATGAATTTCTTTAAATTAAAATTTCGATGTTAAGTTAGACTCAGAATATATATGTTTCATAATACATATTCTTTAACTTTGTCAAGAAAATTATTCCATTGATGAATTATATATGAATAATAAATAACAATTCCAATAATGAATTTATATACATTTATAATATTCCTAAATCTCATTTAAATAGTAAATTACAAATCTCAATATAGCAGTCTGGTACTAATTTTAAAAATATCATCAATAGTCAGAAAATCACAATTATGCAATCATTGAGTGAGTTTTCGCCCATCATTTTGCTATATTTTTCTAGATTTAACATGTTTTCCGAGAGTCAATTATATATTTTGAAATAAGTTAAAAATTAAAAAAGAAAATTTATTTATTTATAGAGCATCTGCATTTATGTCGAAAGCTAATAAATTGCTTCATTTTTGTAATTTTCACATCGTTTCAAGATACACAATTGATCCTCTGATCTATTCTAATCACAATAACTGATTAAAGTCTTTCCTGAATGCAATATGATTTCTCTTCTCTTTCATCTATTTTCTCACTATTTCATTCCTTGATTAATGATAATATATTGAGCAATTATCATCTTTTTACACGATTAATTTGTACCAGAAATTAGATTTTTTAAATATAATGCTGAATTACATATCTTGTTTTATTCATTTAATCATGAGAATTTATTATGAAACTTTAATTAAAAGATTAGATTCTGTATTTCAAGAATATTCCAAGTTACATAGAAACATGATAGTAGAAAGCTGCCAAGTGCCAGTGATGAAATCAACTATAAATCTATTAGGGTATGTTCCATTTCTTATACAGCATACATTATATATTATTTATCCTTTAATATATAATGAATAATAAGAGCAAATGATACATCATATGCATCATGTGAGAAACAGAATGCATTGTTAGAGCTATAGCATATAACATGTAATGTTTTAAGTCTTCGGATATAAGCAATGCGCAAGCTTTGTCGGATTGTATAGAACTTACATATAGCATGTTATTTTGAATATGTAGCATGGAATATAAGTTCTATGCTACACCACAAAGCTTGTGCGTTGCTTACATCTAAGACTTAATACATACATTACAACGTGTTATGTACATGGCTTTTACTCAGTAATCAAAATATCATTACATCTCCATTACAATCAATCGATCTTTTATCAGGTTCAATCAATGGTTCGTTGAAAACCATAAATATCTTTATTGTACTCTGAACAGGAATAAGTAATTGTTCTTACAATATCGTAACGAGCACAAACGCAACGAACAGTTTCCGAAATAGTCAAAGTATCGCGAAAGTAACGCGAGTGTAAGAGAAAAGCGTTTTACAATTGGTCGACGTCACTCGTAATGATGGAATGGCTATTTTGTTAAGAAAAGAACTCACATCATGCTCCATCTTCACCATCTTGGGGATCTAAATAAAATCTCAGATCCTGCTGCAGTTTGTAAGAAACAAGAAACCGTAAGACGACAGAAACAATGGCAGAAACGACGCTATAATGGGAAGAGCGATCGATTTCTTCTCCTTGTACGCACTCGCGTGAACCCCGGACGGAAGATTCATGAACTATGTAAATCAATATAACTGCATTCAACTGTTAAGATGAAATCTACACTAAATAGTTGAAACCTTAAGCCGTAAGAAATTGACCAATTGAAAACGGATGGCGCCCACGTTGCCCAATTTAAAATAAAATTATTTGATTGGTTGATCCAGGCAAATCTACAGACATCGGTTGCTGTAAGTGGCTGTGTCCAACATTAAACGCTCCAATTGAACTTATGTAAAATTGACCAATTATAGTCGAGTATTCTAATTATAAATCGAGTATGATTAGTCAATTTCTTATGGCTTAAGACTTAAATCACCTATTAAAAACATAAACTACAATAAGACTTTAAGACATAAAAAATTGGTCAACCACAATCGATTAGTCTTCTATCAATAATGATTGGCCAATTTCTTAAGCCTTAAAATTTCATTGTAGACATTGTAGACATTGTCGCTTAAAGCATCGTCTACAATAAAAAAGTAAGCCATAAAGGTAATTGTACTACGTAAAAAGATTTTAGATATAATTGTAAAGTTATAAGTAAATTGATCAACCATAGTTCGCTTATTCTTCTTAGGGCCGAGACACACACTTTTGCATAAGGCATAACGCATAAGAGAATCAATCAATCAGAATCTTTTATTTTCATTATGATATAAAAATAGAGAACTACGATTGCTTTGTTTTCTTATACGTCATGCATTATGTTGCATGCAGAAGTATGTGCTCCCGGCTTTATAATCCAAAATAGTCGATTGTGATTGGTCAATTTGCCATACACATTTGCCTATACATTGCAGCATATTGCATATTGCCTATTTATGATTACGATAAAAATTTTTTTATGTGCATGCCTAAGAAATTGATTAATTATAATCGATAAAAGAATAATTGATTGAATGAAAAACACAGGCAATAAAGAACAGGGAATAAAGAACAGATTTCGACCAACTACTACATATAATCTACATATAATCTAAATGTAATAACATAATATTACTTCTTTGATAACAAAATTATTAATTCATATTCAGCTAAATATTATGACAAATTCATTGTTGATTATTTATATAATTGTTTTGAAATATAATTTATATATTTTTTCATTTGAATAATTTCATGTATATCAGCGTTTAGACCCGGGGTGCAGTCCGCTTGGTGGCTACAAATGCTTCGAAGCATCTTTTGATTGGTCAATTCATAAAATTCTTTGTTTTGATTGGTTAATCAAACGCTTCAAAGCTTTTGTAGCGCTAAATGGAGCGTAATTAGTGTGGTGAATCGAATCCGCTATTAAAGGAGGTTAAGGTGTTCACGGTTTCCACCCAGGGAGTAACTGAAAAAAGAAAATTCATGTTGTATATACTCTGAAACCAATATGAATAGGCGAATTTTTAGCACATTATTAACAAATTTTGTTGGCAAAAGAAAATTGCATACAACTTCAAATTTATTATCTTTTTTCGAACCAGATAGAAAGTCAGGTTATAAAAGAGTATATGATAAACCGTTTTTAGAACCACAATTAAATGTTTTTGGTAGAATATGTGAAGGATATCGACAATTCAAAGAAGAATTTAATATTTTAGTAGAAGAAATAAAGGAAACATTGAAAATGGATCCTATTTTTGTATATAGAACAAATGAAGTTGATATTATTTGGCAATTTAAGGGTGATCCGAAATCATTGGATCAATGGGTTACTACCTGTGATAGTGATTATGAAGAAGGTTTTTCTACAGCCAAGTGAGTATAAATGATATGTAAATGTATAATGACAATAAACAATAATACATATTTTTATGTAAGCTAAAATGTATGTATATATAGTATATATATGTGTATGATTGTAAAAAAATAGTACTGCTTCTTTCTTTATTCATCATTCTGATAGGAATATTTTATTGGAATTCTTCTAATTGATTTAATTTTGTTTATTATTATTCTATTAATACATGTAGTTTTTAGTAAATTTTATTATGTGTAATATGTAAAAAAATTTTAATAATCCTTAACTTATATTAAATTTCATTAAAAAAATTATGATTTATCTTGAAATATATTTAGCAATGTTTCATTTCACTTATTGATTTTATAGTACTGTTACACTTGTCCTTATGAAATATAATGTAATACTGTGGAATATGAGGAAAGATTCTTGAAGAGTAATAAAAAATGAAATGACAACAGAGTCAATTAAGAAAAAATTTCAACACAAAATATATCAAGACACAACTTTTTTAATTTTTAATCAACCTTCTATAAATAGAAGTATATGTGGGAAAATTGAGATCAAACTCCAACTATTTTTTTCTAACTTTCCAACTATGAATTCTTTGCTCTCATATAGAACCATATATCATTTTCTGTATATTTGTGTGTTATTTCTTATTATTTCTTTTCAGATTAGAAATGTCTTCTACTGGTACTGGTATATTTTCCGGCATATTAAGCACTCGTTTACCTAAGGATGGCAGAATAAAATATGCTGGTTATTGCAATATTACCACAATACCTAAATATAAATCTTTTAAACGTGAAGTCTATCATGATTGGACACCATATACTCATCTCGTCCTTCGTATTAGAGGAGATGGTAGATGTTATGTGTTGAATATTGCTACTAGAGGTATATTTGATTTAACATGGAATGATGTATATCATTATGTGCTTCATACCAGAGGTGGACCTTATTGGCAATATGTCAGAATTCCATTCTCTAAATTTATATTTTCGAGTAAAGGCAGATTACAGGATAACCAAATACCAATTGTACTACATGAAGTTTCAAATTTTGGTATATCATTGGCCGATGACGTTACTGGACACTTCAGATTAGAAATTGATTATATTGGTTTAGAATCTGATGCATTTCATAAGGAAGAGTTTGCTTATGAATCTTACAATTTTTCAGACATTAAATTTTAGTATGTACATAATAAACGAAATGTAATAAAAAAAATATAAAAATGTAACTATTTTTATTAATTATGTACAGATAAAATAACAGAAAAAAGAATACAAACAATGTAGATAATAAATTTATATTAAACATAATTTATTTAACATAATATATATTTGATATTTGTGTTTCAAATTTAAAAAGATACATAGTCTAGAATATAAGCTTGTCTATCATATTTATTAATTTGTGAGATTATCAGAAGAATCAAAATGTAAAAATAAAATTTTATGATAAGAAAATATCGGTATAATTTTTTTTCCTTGAATATCTGTACTGTTAAATCGGATCCTCCACCATCACAAATCAATTTTTCATTTCGATTTATGTATTTGTTTTAATTCAGATTTTTTGCTTAAATTGACATTAGCAGAAAATCACATTTAAAATGAGGGAAAAAAGAGATCAAAGTTATAGACTTTTTCATTTATTACTATTGATTATTTATTTTTTATTTGACAGTTTATATTTGAATTTTGTAATTTTATAATTGTGTATTATTCTTTTTGTAAAACTATAAGTGATAAGATAGCTCTGAAAAAATCTGGGAAACCTCATAAAATTTTCAGGAAATTTATTTATACTATTTTATGATTAATATTACAATATTGAATCCAATCCAATATTGAAGATAACAATCATATTAGATGCAATTTTGTTTAATTT